CTATATTTTATAGCTCTAACTTCAATGTATTCTTTATACTTATTAACTCTTGAACATTTTTTTAACTTCTATAGTTAAATGGTGGGACCAATATGGTGTAGAGACTCCGGAGCTACAGGCTTTCGCCATCAAAGTTCTAAGTTTAACTTGTAGCTCATCTGGATGTGAAAGGAACTGGAGTGTTTTTGAACACGTGAGAAATAAAAAGAATTATTTCGTATTTTGAGATAAAGTAAATTATATCTCAATTGTCCAAACTCCTACTAATTAGTTGACACATCTTTTTTTGCAGATTCATACAAAGAAAAGGAATCGACTAACCTTGAAGCGCCTCCATAATCTAGTGTTCATAAAATACAATAGAGCATTGAGACGACGCTACAACCACCGCAATATAATTGATCCAATTCTTTTGGACAATATTGATGAGGCTAATGAGTGGCTAACCGGAGTCCCCGAAAATTGTGAAGGTGAAGAAGTATTTGAAGGCGACTCCGATTTCACTTGGGGTGATGTTGCGGTTGGTAGTGGAGTTGGGGAAGATCCTTATGGTTTAAGGAGATATACTCCAAGTTCAAGCTCTATTAGGAAGGGAAAAAGTGTGGCTACTACAAGTCGATCCCTATCCCTAATTGATGAAGATGAAAGTGATCATGAAGAGGAGGGGGAAGAAGAAGATGACGAGCAATATGAAGATAATAGAGGAATTCAAGATTTTGACAATCTTGAAGAAGAAGAAGAAGAGTAGAAGAATAAGATGTTGATTCTAGTAATTTAGTAGCTTTGATTTTACTTGTCCTATGGTTTGTGGAAGGTTTGTGGATGATTTGCTGGTACCTAGTACCTACTTTTAAGTATTTAAATTGAAGTTTTTGATTATTTATAATTTTACATTATGTTTTTTAAGAATTGCGCTTCACTTTAATAAAGCATGCGCTTCGCTTTGCGCTTCGCTTTTGAAGCGAGGCGAGCCCTTGTCGCTTTTTTGCGCTTCGCGCTCTCAAAAACACTGAGTTTTAGGGGGGGAGGTCCCATTTCACCTTCTTCATCCATCTCATCATCTTCATCAATTAGATTCACCGATGCTTCATAATTCATTTGAGTTTTTGCCATATTTTTCTTTTCAACAAACGATTTTACTTCCTCCCTAACCCCGGGCGGACAAAGGGGACATTGTATTACATTTTTAAATCCACCTATCAAATATTGTTTGTGACGAGTTATCCCACCATTATATGTTTTTTGACAAAACACACAATTAATTGCGAATCTTGACGAGCCTTGTATAGCATAATTCCAAGCTATATCTCGTTTAGTATTATCGGATGATGCCATTTCAACGTTGTTTTATAGACAAAAATTATCAAGTCAATATGCAATTAATTCTACTATATAAGACTATAAGTTAATAATTGAAAAAAAGGCAAACAGAGCCAAAAAAAGGGCCTCAAAACAGCCTCTGTTTCTGAAAAAAAGGGCCTCAAAGCAGCCTCTGTTTCTGGAAAAAAAGGGCCTCAAAGCAGCCTTTATATTTTGCCAAAACAGAGCCAAAAAAAAAATTAAGAGAAGAAGAAAGAGGAAGTGAAGAACCTCTGTATTTTGCTCGAAAATTAGAGCACAAAAACAGACCACTGTTTCTGCTCTTTTCGTCAAAAAAGAGAGGAAAAAAGAAGAAGGAAGAAGAAGAGAAGAAGAAGGAGAAAGAAGAAAGAAGAGAGAAGAAAGAAGAAGAAAGCAAGGAAACTCAGAGCTCATGCTCATACCTGGTCTTTCAATGGCAGAAGCTTGATGAAGAAGAAGATGGCACTGGGAAGAAATGAAGAAGTTGAAGAAGTTGTTTTGTTCGAGCCCTAATCGCAAGTTCCGGCCTTTTCTTGTTGTTTTTTGTTTGAAGTTGAAGAAGCTCTGAACTCAAGCCCTAATCGCGACCTATTATTTTAAGTTTTGCCCTTTTTCTTTTTCTTTTTTAAAATAGCAACGCTACAGCCGCTACTCGCTACAGTGTTGCCTCACGCAACACACCTTGAAGCGACCGCTATTTTGAAACGCAACGCAACAGTTGCCATGTAGCGACACTGCCTTGCCTCGTCTCGCCTCACGCTATTAGCGCTGAGGCGGGCGCTATTTATAACATTGGTTCCAGCATGACCAGCTCAGGTCCTGGAGGGGTTCATAGCTACCCTGGTACTTTAGGATGCTTTGGTCCGTCTAGAGGGCCTTATGGAGAGCATAGCTCAGACTGGCACATTTCCTGTAGCACCAGCCGTCTCTCAGGCTAGGGAAGGAGCCCAGACTCCCGCTACCCACACTCCGGAGTAGATGACTCCTCAGTTTCAGACTCCGGCAGCTCAGCCAGTTGGAGTAGTTCAGCCAGCTACTGCAGCACAGGCCGCTGGTGGATCAGTCATGTCTTCTGAGGCTTTGTTGAGGTTGGACAAGTTCACCAAGCTTTTTCCGATTCATTACAGTGGGGCAGCTTATAAGGACCCATAGGATTATCTTGACCGCTATCATGAGGTGTTGCAGAACATGGGGATAGTGGAGACCAATGGGGTCGACTTTGCTATATTCCAGATGATAGGGTCCGCCAAGAGATGGTGGAATGATTTTGTGTTGACTAGACCAGTTGGTCGCCTGCCTTTGACTTGGGACCAGTTCTCTCAGCTATTTCTCGAAAAGTTCCTTTCTGTTACTCAGAGAGAGGACTATCGTAGGCGATTCGAGCATCTTCAGCAGGGTTCTATGACTGTCACCCAGTACGAGACTAGGTTTGTTGATTTGGCCCGTCATGCTCTTCTTATACTCCCCACCGAGATAGAGAGGATGAGGAGGTTTATTGAGGGACTCACTCAGCCTATCAGATTGCAGATGGCTAAAGAGACAGGGAGCGAGATTTCTTTCCGGGATGCGGCCAATGTGGCCAGGCAAGTTGAGATAATTTTAGCTCAGGGGAGTGGTCAGGGGTCTGACAAGAGTCCTCGTCATTCTGGTAGGGTCAGTGGTGCCTCGTCTGGAGGCAGGGATTCTTTTGGTAGAGGCCATCCTCCCAGGCCGTTTCATTCAGCACTTCAGGCTTCTCACGGTGCTTCAGGTGGTCCTGGCTCTCATATATTCTGATCAACTACCTTACAGTGCACCACCAGCTCCTATCAGTGCACCTCCGCTCCTGAGTTTTCAGAGTGGTTACCTAGGCCGTCAGGGTTAGTTTCAGGGTAAGCAATCTCAGCAGCCGAGGTCTTGTTATACTCGTGGCGATCCGAGGCTCATTGCCAGGGATTGCCCTCGAGTATCGAGCAGTTCTTAGCATCAAGGTTCTCGTGGCATGGTCCCGGCACCGGGGGTTCCACCACCCGCCCAGTCAGGTAGAGGTAGGGGTCAGATAGCTAGAGGTGGAGGTCGAGGTATTAGAGGTGGAGGCCAGCCAGCAGGAGGCCGTCCCAGGGATATAGTTTAGAGTGGTGGGGCCCAGCCCCGATATTATGCTTTCCCAGCCAGGCCTAAGCCTGAGGCATCCGATGCCGTTATCACAGGTACGGTTTCAATTTGCAGTAGAGATACTTCAGTTCTAATTGATCCAGGGTCTACATACTCCTATGTGTCATCTTACTTTGCTTCGTATTTGGTTGTGCCTTGTGAATCCTTGAGTGCTCCTGTATATGTGTCCACACCGGTGGGTGATTCTATTGTTGTAGAGCGTGTCTATCGCTCGTGTGTGGTTATTATTGGGGGTCTTGAGACGAGTGTGGATCTCCTACTTCTCAATATAGTTGATTTTGATGCCATTTTGGGGATGGATTGGCGGTCACCTTATCATGCTATATTGAACTGTCACGCCAAGACCAACCTTAGCCTTGCCGGGGTTGCCTCGATTGGAGTGGAGAGGGACTCCTGGTCATTCTACCAGTAGGGTTATTTCTTATGTGAAGGCTCGGCGCATGGTCGAGAAGGGGTGTTTGGCTTATTTGGCTTATGTTCGTGATTCCAGTGCGGAGGTTCCTTCCATGGATTCCGTATCAGTTGTTCGTGAATTTCCAGAGGTATTTCCTGCAGACCTGCCCGGGATGCCACCCAATAGGGATATTGACTTTTGCATTGATTTGGCTCCGGGCACTCAGCCCATTTCTATTCCGCCATACCGAATGGCCCCACCAGAGTTGAAAGAATTGAAGGAGCAGTTGCAAGACTTGCTTGATAAGGGCTTCATTAGGCCTAGTGTCTCGCATTGGGGTGCGCTAGTGTTATTTGTAAATAAAAAGGATGGATCGATGAGGATGTGCATAGATTATCGATAGTTGAACAAAGTCACAATCAAGAACAAGTATCCATTGCCAAGGTGTTTTCAAAGATCGATTTGGGTTCTGGCTATTATCAGTTGAGGATTAGGGCGTCTGATGTCCCTAAGACAGCTTTTCGGACTCGGGATGGGCATTATGAGTTTTTAGTGATGTCATTTGGGTTGACAAATGCCCTAGCAGCGTTCATGGATTTGATGAACCGAGTGTTCAAGCCCTATTTGGATTCTTTCATGATTGTTTTTATTGATGATATCTTGATCTACTCCCGCAGTCGAGAGGAGCATGAGCAGCATTTTCGGATCGTTCTTCAGACTCTGAGAGACAGCCAGTTATATGTTAAGTTTTCGAAATGTGAGTTTTGGTTGAGTTCGGTTGCATTCTTGGGTCACGTTGTATCAGCAAAGGGTATTAAGGTGGATCCTAAAAAGATTGGGCAGTCAAAGACAGGCCTAGACCCACATCAGCTACAAAAATCCGGAGTTTCTTGGGCTTGGCAGGTTAATACCGTCAGTTTGTGGAGGGGTTTTCATCTATAGCAGCCCCGATGACTAGGTTGACACAGAAGGGTGCCCCGTTCAGGTGGCCGGTCGAGTGTGAGGCGAGCTTTCACAAGCTCAAGACTGTTTTGACTACGACGCTGGTGTTAGTGCTGCCCACAGGTTCAGGGCCCTATACAGTGTATTGTAACGCATCTCGTATTGGACTTGGTGCGGTATTGATGCAGGGTGGCAAGGTTATTGCGTATGCCTCGCGACAGTTGAAGATTCACGAGAAGAATTATCCAGTTCATGACTTAGAGCTAGCAGTCATTGTTCACGTACTGAAAATTTGGAGGCATTATCTATATGGCGTGTCGTGTGAGGTGTTCACGGATCATAAGAGTTTGCAGCATTTGTTCAAGTAGAGGGAGCTCAATTTGAGGCAGAGGAGGTGGTTGGAACTATTGAAAGACTATGATATCACCATCTTGTATCATCTCGGGAAGGCCAACGTAGTGGCCGATGCTTTGAGTAGGAAGTCAGCTAGTATGGGCAGTCTCGCGTATATTCCAGTCGATGAGAGACCGCTTGCTTTAGATGTTCAGGCTTTGGTCAATCAGTTCGTGAGATTGGATGTTTCTGAGCCCGGCCGTGTTCTAGCTTGTACAGTCGCTCGGTCTTCCTTGTTTGAACGTATCAGGGAGCGGCAATATGATGATCCTCATTTGCTTGTCCTTAGGGACACAGTGCGGCACGGAGATGCCAAGTAGGTTACAGTTGGAGATGATGGAGTTTTGAGGATGCAGGGTCGTGTTTGCGTGCCTAATGTGGATGAACTTCGTGAGTTGATTCTAGAGGAGGCTCCCAGTTCCCGGTATTGTATTCATCCGGGCGCCGCTAAGATGTATCAGGACTTGCGACAGCATTATTGGTAGAGGAGGATGAAGAAGGATATTGTTGCATATGTAGTACGAGCATCAGAGACCTGGTGGTTTGCTTCAGAAGATTGAGATACCTGAGTGAAAGTGGGAGCGTATCACTATGGACTTTGTTGTTGGACTCCCACGGACTCGGAGGAAGTTCGATGTAGTATGGGTTATTGTGGATAGGCTGACCAAGTCGGCGCAGTTTATTCCTGTGGCAGTTTCCTATTCTTCGGAGCGGTTGGGAGATTTACATCCGTGAGATCGTTCGTCTTCATGGTGTGCCCGTGTCTATCATTTCTGACTGAGGTACGCAGTTTACCTCGCATTTCTGGAGGGCAGTACTGCGTGAGTTAGGTACGCGGGTCGAGTTGAGCACAACATTTCATCCTCAGACGGACGGACGGTCCGAGCGTACCATTCAAATTTTGGAGGATATGCTCCGCGCCTGTGTTATTGACTTTGGAGGTTCTTGGGATTAGTTCTTGTTGTTAGCGGAGTTTGCCTACAACAACAGTTATCAGTCGAGCATCCAAATGGCTCCCTATGAGGCGTTGTATGGTAGACGGTGTCGATCGCCGGTTGGATGGTTTGAGCCGGGGGAGGCTCGGTTACTAGGCAGAGACTTAGTGCAGGATACCTTGGATAAGGTTAAGATCATTCAGGATAGACTACGTACAGCTCAGTCCAGGCAAAAAAGTTATGTTGATCATAAGGTTCGAGATGTGGCATTCATGGTCGGAGAGAGAGTGTTGCTTCGAGTGCCACCCATGAAGGGTGTGATGCGGCTTGGGGAAAAGGGCACGTTAAGCCCTAGTTCATCGGGCTTTTTGAGATTCTTGATCGAGTGGGAGAGGTGGCTTACAGACTTATGTTGCCACCAGGCTTATCAGCGATACATCCAGTGTTTCATGTGTCCATGCTTCGGAAGTATCATGGCAATCCATCCCATGTGTTAGATTTCAGCATTGTCCAGTTGGACAAGGATTTGACCTACGATGAGGAGCCGGTAGCTATTCTAGACCGGCACGTTCGTCAGTTGAGGTCGAAGAGTTATCCTTCGGTTCGTGTGCAGTGGAGAAGTCAGCCTGTCGAGGCAGCTACTTAGGAGTCCGAGTCCGATATGCGGAGCAGATATCCCCATCTTTTCCCTAGCTCAGGCACTTTTCTATGTCCGTTCGAGGACGAACGGTTGTTTTAGAGGTGGAGAATGTGATGACCCAAAAGGTCATCTCGTGTTTTAAAACCCAATTCGGGGTTCCGAGGCCTTCAAAACCTCATCTTACATCTCCTCAATTTGCATAGTTCGAGCGCATTTCCGGAAAACCTTTATGTGAAAAATTTGAGAAAATAATAATTTTTGCCTTTAAAAGTAATTTTAGTTGACTTCGGTCAACATTTTGAGTGAACGAACCCGGACTCATATTTTGACGGTTCCAGAGGGTCCGTAGTAAAATATGGGACTTGGGTGTATGCTCGGAATCGAATTCCGAGGTCCCTAGCCCGAGAAATGAATTTTTGATGAAAATTGTTAAATTGAAATTATAATGGTTTTGTGAAAATGGTTAATAGTCGATCTTGTTGGTATCGGGCCCGTATTTTGGTTCTAGAGCCAGGTATAGGTTTAATATGAAATTTAAGTCATGTCTGTGAAATTTGGTGAAAAATGGGACTGATTTGATGTGATTCGAACCTTTGGTCGAGAAAATAGAACTATTGAACTTTCTTGAAAATTTCATGCAATTTGATGCTAAATTCGTAGTTCTAGGTGTTATTTTGGCGATTTAATCGCGCGACCAACTTCGTATGATGTTTTTAAGACTTGTGTGCATGTTTGGTTTGGAGCCCCGAAGGCTCGGATGAGTTTCGGGTAGGCTACGGGATGTTTTAGACTCAGAAAATCTGGTGTGAGAGTGTTGTATCTGGTGTCTGTTGCATTGTGCTTCGCGATCGCGAAGGGAATAATGGGCAGGGGGAGGACTTCACTCTACGCGAACGCGAGACCAGGGTCGCGAACGCGGAGCATTGAGAGGAATTGCTCTACGCGAACGCGACCGGTCGACCACGAACGCATAGCTTTAGAAGGGCTGGTCAGGGGACCTGGGGAAACCCTATGCGAACGCGAGCCCCGTATCGCTAACGCGAAGGTAGGGCGGGATAAACCTTCGTGAATGCGTAGCCTTTCCCGCGATCGCGTATGTCCTTAGGAGGCTGCTCTTCGCGAACGCGACAGTGCTCACGCGATCGCAATGAACACTGTCGCCCAGCACTTAAAACAGAAGCAGAAACGGGAATGGGCCATTATTTCATATTTTCAAAAAACTAGAAGGCATAGAGGCGATTTTCAAGAGACAAGTTCTTCCCCAAAGTGTTGGTAAATAATTCTAAACTACTTTCTTTCAATTACCCATTGCATTTCATCAATTTTCAACCAAAAATCTAGGGTTTTCATGGTGGAAATTGGGGGTTTGGATAGAATTAGGTATTGTTGTATAATTGGAATTTAGACCTCGATTTGGGGTCGGATTCCGAAACTAATTACATATTTGGGCTCGTGGGTGAATGGGTGAATGGGTTTTGGTCGGAACCTCGAGTTTTAACCAAGCGGGCTCGGGTCGGTTTTTGACTTTTTGGGGAAAATGTTGGGAAACTTGTAACGATGCATTGGAATTGATTTCTTTAGCGATAATTGATATTATTAAGTTAATTATAACTAGATACGGGTGGTTCGGAGGTGGACACTAAGGGAAAAGCGGTGTTTGAGGCTTGAGTTCGGCCGTGGAATCGAGGTAAGTATTGTGGCTAACCTTAGCTTGAGGGATTAGGTATTGTCGCCGTATTTGCTATGTGTTTGGTTGTTGAGTACGACGTATAGGTGAGGTGACGAGTACCTATACGTTATTGTCGGGTCATAGTATGCGAGTGAGTCTTATCCTTGTGACTATTGTATTCTTTATTCGTATTGCTCATGCTTAAACTGGTTATTCTTCATGTTAAACAAATGTTATCATATTTTCCTGGAATTTGATATTGGTTGAGTATTGCCTCAAATTGAGATTCATATTATGAAGTTAAATATTGAAACGAGGTTGGTTATTGATAATTCCCTTGCCGAGTTGTTATTGTTCTGTTGTTTGGGTGAGGAAGAGTGTAAGGCACGAAGGGTAATGTCGTGCAATGTTTTCTGAGTGAGTGATAATGCACGAAGGGTGATGTCGTGCCATATTTTGTGAGTGTAATGCACGAAGGGTGATGCGTGCCATATTCTGAGAGTGTTAATGCACGAAGGGTGATGTCGTGTCATGTTATGAGAGAGTTAATGCAGGAAAGGTGATGTCGTGCCATGTTATGAGAGAGTTAATGCACGAAAGGTGATGTCGTGCCGTTTCTATTGTTTCTTATGGTAAGGACGAGAGTAAAAGCACGAAGGGTGATGTCGTGCACATGTTTGCCATATTATTACTTCTGTTGGTGCAAAGCATGATATTCACTGCGTTTCTTTAGTGTACTATTTTCAGGACTTGATATTTCCCCTCAACATGTTTTCCCCCTTTCCCATTATTATCCGTTCAATTTCCGTTTGTTGTTATTTTCTCGTATATGATTTAACTCCACAGGTTCATGTTATTGTCGTGTCCTAGCCTCGGCACTTACCAGTACATGGGGTCGGTTGTACTGATACTGCACTCTGCACTTTCTGTGCAAATTTCGGTACCGGACCTCGTTGATCAGAGTTGGATTGCTGCCTTTAGTCCATCAGGAGACCCAAGGTAGATCCGCCAGCGTTCGCAGACCCTGGAGTCCCCTTCCATTTACCCTAGCTTTCCTGTTTTCTTTTAATTCGAGAACATATTTTCTTTAAACCAGTATTTGTAGTAACTCTTAGAAGTTCGGATTGTGACACCAGATTTTGGGTAGGCGTGTAATAGTGTTTGGTCTATTATAAATTTCCGCACTTCTTATTTTGTCTTGGTTTAGATTATTGTTATTTACTGTTTTGAATAGTGATTAGCGTGTTAGATCTTTATCTGTTGGCTTGCTTAGCATTCTAGAGTTAGGCCATCACGATCCCGATGGTGGGAAATCCGGGTCGTGACACGATCAGTGCAAGACTTCTAAGGAAATCAGATTGTGTATATACTCTGTACATAAAGACCAATCAATGCTTCTGCTCTAAAGAGCCAAGTGAATAAATCAATGCTTCATCTGCCTAGCAAGATATATGGATATTCACTACTGATATTGCAAAAATCACCATCACTAAAGAAAAACCACATTAATTGCCAACAAAACCACCTAGAGATTTTTTTCTCCGAACCCTTTGGAAGCGAACAGCAAGTTGGCTTCTGTTTTACTTTCAACCCACATGCTCAGGAAATTCAAAGGACAGCCGCACAGGCATACAAAGCAGGGTAAGGAGGAATGCTCTACAACTTAAAAGTTTAGACAACAAGAAATTCGAAAGGGGGTTTAATGAGTGATCAGATTCTATTCAGGAGAACAATGAAAATATGGGGGAGTTCTATGGCAATAATTGTAACATTTTGGTCCACCTATGACATTTCAGTTAATATGCCCAATTGGATGATATCTGTGAAAAATCCAATATCTTGTCTAGATTTTCTACCTTTTATATACCACCAGTATACACTTTACAGTGATTACCTTCGCATCAATAACGTAATCCTTAAAACAATGGCATCTGGTTCTGCAATCAAGAAGTCACCTTTTCAAATACACAAATTAGAACACGCCCATGCAAACCATAGCACACCAACACGTAAATAACATAGCCAGAACCACAAACACAGAGAGCGTCGGGTAAGAGGTGAGTTCTTACCAGTAGACCATATAAGTCACAATAATGATAAAACTCAGGTCTCTCAGCCAGTCCCCCACCCCAACAACGCATCATGTTGAAGTTCATATCAGCATGGAATCTGATATCTGTCTTGTATCTTTCCTTTGAAAGCCGCAATAATCCATCTGAGAGGATCCAATTACCCCCACGGATGAATATTGGTTGTCCATTTACCTTAAACAACCTGGTAAGAAAACAAAGCCAAATTTACATCATTATATCAACTCACGAGACAACCTACTATTACTCTGGAGAAGACAAAGGGAGAGGAGATTTCAAAGTTAGATTTTCACCTTCCACCTGTAGCACTATCTATATGACTCTCAATTTTGCGAAATCCAAAATGGTGACTCCATGTATCCGACTCTCCATAACCTTGCACATCAACAGTAATATCAACATTGTAAAGATGTTGCTTTCCCATTCCGTTAGGCCACCATAAATTGGGTTTGTAGAAATAAAGCTGCAACGGAAAGATTTAACCCACTTAGACAACAATCAACTGGAGATAGGCTGCCGAGCAGTGCAACATAGAAGATAGATTTTCAAAGCAAAGACTTGACAGATTTTACAAAAACTCAATAACAGAGATGGAATAGACACATCCAGAAAAGGGAAACATAAAAAACAACAAAAGTAAGGAACTTCATATATAATACTCGATTTAGAGCATCCAGAGGACAAAGTGCCAATTCAGTACATGAACAGGATCAAACATCCCAACAGAATATTTTTTCATGAAGCAATTTGTTGTCCTATTTCATTGCACCATTGTTCACCAAATTGAAAGAGTAAATAAAAAGTCAATGTTCTCAGAACGGAAACACGAGGAAAACTTGCGAAGTTGGACAATTTAGGTGAAACCAACATCCTCATTGAACATTAGACATTTTTAACTGGTAAACTAAGATAAAGCATAACAAATTCTCGGATTACCACCTCAAGCGCTCAAGCACCTTCTCTCAGTATTGTACAGATCTCTGCTTTATTCAAATGGCAGAATTATAAGAGGTACATTGAAACTCAGCAACAGAAACCTTCACACCTGCCACCACACTTGGGTTATTAATATTATTAAATCACCAAGGAAAACCTCCAGTAGCCTAAAGTCAAATGGTGTGTGACCTTTACTTGGAATTTTATAAATATGCCAATATAATCTGGAAATTTCTTTTAAAGTAGTACTCTAAGTCTCTAACAAAGGAGTGTACTATTCCATCTGCTACTCAAGGTCTTCTCAACTATAGACCCAATTAGGCCATTTAATAGTGACTTTGTCTACAAGCTTGAGAGACTACAGTATGTTTTTTAGCCTGTGGGAAGCCACATATGTGACATTAGAATTAAGATCTCCCACAAGTTTTTTTGATTAATTTATGAAAAGGAAGTAGAAAAAACTGTATTAGTGTTATTATTAGAATCTGCTAGAGTAGATTAAAGTGCCACATTGGTTAGGGGATGGACTTGTTGTCTCCTTATATGCAATTGCGGAATCTTCCCCTCATAAGTTAGCTTTTGGGTTGAGTTAGGCCAAGGGCCAGATCCGTCCTTGCCCATGTTATATTTTCCAAGCTCCAGTAGGCAGGTATGGGCATTGGATTTTGTGGGTGGGGTGGGG